AGCTAACAATGCTATTTACAACCGGGTGTCCGCAACTAACAATGCTATTTACACCCGGGTGTCTGTAGCTAACAATGCTATTTACACCCGGGTGTCCGTAGCAGCTAACAATGCTATTTACACCCGGGTGTCCGTAGCTAACAATGCTATTTACAACCGGGTGTCCGCAACTAACAATGCTATTTACACCCGGGTGTCTGTAGCTAACAATGCTATTCACACCCGAGTGTCCGTATTTAACAATACTATTTACGTCCGGGTGTCCATTATGGAAAAGCTAACAATGCTATTTACACCCAGGTGTCCGCAACTAACAATGCTATTTACACCCGGGTGTCCATAGCTAACAATGCTATTTATACGGAGGAAAAGAGAGAGGGTTTTATTTTCTGACGCTGCGTGATTTCCCCGACACACCGAGGACACATATTTATGTATAAAAGACATTAAAAAAAGTGCATTTTGCGTCCCCTTTAAATAAGGAGTGTTTCTTCCCAGGGTGTCTTTCCTCTTCACAGTTTTAAAACATGAATCACGCTAAGTCTCCAAGTTAAACTGAAGAACTTATTCCTGCTATGGTTTTGCAAACGATGCATTCACTTAAACATAGTTGATGAAAATGGGTGACACAGTGCATGGTGGTTTTATTGTGAAAAATCATCATTAATGTTAGTGTTAGAGCCAGTATTTAGTTTTCTATAAACAAAAAGGCCACTTAATCGTGACGTCTGTAGTCAACACAGCATAAAAGACTACAACTCCNTAATTGTTTGTATATCTTCAAGAAGTTGTTTATCAGAAAAAAGCATTTTAAAAAGGAGAAAAATCTGTTCATTTAGTTTGTGATCTTCAGATTGTGTTGATCTTCACAGAGTCGGCCCTTTCAAAATAAAAGCATCTCCTTGTTATAAACTCCCTAATCTCTTGTCCTGTAAACTCATCTCGTCTAGTCTCCATGTGAACTCTGCCTGCAGCTCTGAGTGTTTCTTACTTTTTGAAGCGATTTTAAACATCAGGGTGGGTTTGTTGTTCGCTGATTGGCCGGTTCCCTGATCGCTGTCGATGGTTTCCATGGCGTTCACCAAATTATCCTCCAGCGTCTCCCTGGTAGACAAAACAACAAGGACGGTAATCAAAACATGTTTAATGGAGTCCCATAAACAATAAACAAGGACAAAGTCAAGAGAGTTTTTTTTCATAGAGAACATTGTAAAGAACATTTACCTAATGTACTTTCAGTAATCTGCCTGAAAAAAAAATATAAAAACATATCCTGTTTTATATATTATCTATATATATTTATCCAGTTCATCCTGTTTAGGTTCCATCATAATATACATATTTCCTCAGGGTTTTAGAGCTCTTATAGAGCAAGCAGAGAATAAAAAGAAAGAAAGAAGATAACTTGAAAATACTCAGCATTGATGTAAAGTAGGTGTTAAGTTCAGAATTGAAATCCAAAGGTATGATCCAATAACTGTGCTCTCTCCCTCATTAAGAAATTCTACCTCTACCAATGTTGGATAATCCTCAAAGCCCGGCCCACTACATTTAACAGCACAAAGTAAAATGGCTAGAATGAGAATAAATATTGGAGATATTTAGCCGTACATGTTTAATCTAGAGGAGTTTGTTTTTGCTTTAAAATGGGTAACGTACTGTGCCACAGCCAGCTCCAGCTCCTCGATCTTCTTCTCCAGAGACGTCTGCAGGTCGCTCTTATCCACCGAGTACTCCACGAAGAACGCCTCCAGGACGAAAGCCACGAAGATACTGAAAGACCACAGCAAATTATAAATGTGATCTATATTTTCTTGTCTTACATGTTGCCAGGATTTAAAGACTGCAGTAAAAAGCTCTTAGCTGTTCCCTGTTAGCAGCATGTCCCTGGATGTACAGATATATATCCCGGGATTAATTGAATAATTATGAAAACTAGAAATCATGGTGGCTGTCAGGGAGGATCTGCAGCTGTAAGAGTGACTTTGTTATCGGTCAATTGAATGGCCAATCCACAAAACATTTCCCTTCCCTTTGATGTGCACAGTTTATGCCCAAGGAGGCTACCATTTTAATTGGAGGAGGGATAATTAATTAATAATAAAAAAGGGGTTTCGGCAGAGAGTGGCCTATTACTAAAAGGTGCATAACTTCTAAATTGACCGATGTACCAAAACTCAACCAAACCTTTGTCGGAGCAAACATTGCACTGGGCAAAGACTCCCTCTTTTTTAAGTGTGTGTTAGCCCTGCCCCTCTACTTAAGCCACACCCTCTTTGTGTCTGAATGCATGCAGGTAAGGGGATGCTTGTTCTATGATGAATGGACATTTCTTGGTAATGGAATCAGATATAGTATATTTATCTGAATAGAAATGTGTTTGTTATGTGTGTTGGACATGACTGAATTATGAATCTGAGAATGTGAATATGGCATTTCTGATACAAATTTCCTGTTGATTTTAAGACGCCTGCATACACCTTCACCCCACATTGTGTATTTTGTCCGCTCCCCCTCCCCCTCCGCCAGAGTCTTACTTGATGATGACGATGACGACTATGATGTGGAAGAAGACGAAGAAGAGCTTGGCTGACCCGTGGGTGACGGCAGCAAATCCGCTGCTGAGCAGTGAAGTTACGTTAAGGAATAAATTAGTTTAACATTCGAATCAATCAGAACAGAAACACCATTATGTATCTTATCTGATTATATTTTACAGCATTCAGTTGCATAGAAGATTAAAATGATCTATCTTTTCTTTGCTTTTACACTGAGTTGTATATGTTAGCTCAGTGCTAACAGCATATCCAGCTTAATTTGCTAAACATTTGGCTAATTTCACGACAGCAGTGATGTTCTTGCTTTTGTGACCAGGCTGCTGCTTTTGATTTACTTTAAATGTCATTTGAGTTAGTTGGTTTGGTCAGGTGAAGTTAAATGACCAGCAAATGGTGACAGACCTGAAATGAAACCCAGTAAAGAGGGCAGTTCTGGATCTATAATAAAACCCAACCAACAGTTGAACTTCCTGTGAGAGGCGTTCAGGGGAAGGATATCGTGCCACTGGTTGACCACAGTGAGCTCCACCAGCAGGATGAAGGACGAAACCACGTTGTTGAAGTTGTTCTTGCAATAGTTGAGTTGAGCGAAGTCCGTTCCTTTCAGCAGAACGTTTCCACAGTACGCCTTCGCCGGGTCGCTGGAGTCCTCGTAAAACTTCACCTTGTGTTTGAACAACTCCATCCCCACCATGGCAAAGACGTAGTACACCACCTGGGGAGGACTTTCAGTCAGCGGCAGCTTCGCTACAAGTTTTTTGACACAACCGAACCTACGCAACTGCCCACATTAGGTCTTTTTTTTTTAAGCAAGCTGATGTAAGTATGATGTGTGGAAGGAGGCTACTATTAGAGAATGAAATTGCAAGACCAGTACAAATGAAAGCCTGTTCCAATGCTGGAACCACAATAGAGGGTGGAGCTAAGTACAAGCAAAAATGATCAAGATATGTTGGGTAAAATTGTTTTAAAAAATTCCCTTTTTGATGAATTGAAAACAGATGTGAAAAGGTTAAAGTTGTAGGGGGATAGCACAGAAAACACCACACTGTGTGCGGGCTGTCCCGAATACCATTTTTCGGGCTCCGGATATTCGGTAATAATCAGCAGCGAATATTCGAATATTCGGGGGGTGGGCGTAGTAATCAGCAGCGAACCGCTCCAACACGTGTATTTCGGTGTATTCACGGCATTCATTTTGTTTTTCTACAGTATTGTTGTTTTATAGTTATTTGTTAATGTAACCCAATTTGTGTTCTTTGAAATTGAAAAGGATATCGCATTGTGTTTGTTACTTTCGTTGCAGTTGTATTAAGTGTAATTTGGCTTGGCTTCCTATTTATGGTCATGCTTTTATTTTGAAGGAGAGGTAGCGCTGTTGACAGGAAGTTGTTGTTGCTTTGGAAACAACGTGACAGAGATTAACGGAGAAAAGTGATATCTACATATAAAGACGGAGAAAGTAAATGATAGCGTTTATGGTTAAGTGTTAGCACCCCCCGAAGAGGCACAAGCTCTTACGTTGATATTGGAGATTTCAATAAATTCAATTTGGAAAAAAAACGGGGGAAAAAACGAAAAAAATAACAAAACGAATATCCGAATAACAGAATTGAAACCTGAATAGTACTCCAACGAACGAATATTAGGATATTCGAATATTCGGGTACAGCCCTACTGTGTGGTAGCAACCTGTCAAACCCAATGAAGCCCCATCTTGAAGCATACTCTACAGTATTTATCCATTTTACTATTAATGGGACCAAAATGTTATAAAATTACATCATGCTGTAAGGAAGAATACATGAAACTAGCTAAAGAGACCATTAACAAGTAAAAAAAAAAAGATAACTGATGTCATAAATCAAGTAGGATGTACTGTAATATTTTCATAGACTTCTATACAAACAGACTCCTTAAAGCTACCAGTGGAGTCGCCCCCTGCTGGATATTAGAGAGAATCCAGGCACAAGGCACTAATGGCCTTATAAAGCAGCTGACTCAATTTGTTTATTACACCACCACTAATACTAGACATTTTAGGGGAATATCTAAACACTTGAAGCCTAACAATATGGTTCAACTGGCAATCTTCTATCAGTAACTCACAAGGATCAGCTGTCCAAATGTGAGGATGGCTGGTCCGATCCTGATCAGGGTGTTGATGATCGTACGAAACCTAACGGGGAAGAAATGTATCGTTGTGAGTAAAGAAACACATTCAGACAAATATCACAACTCTGTAGAAATATGGACTAATAAAGACAGAAGACTGACCGATGATACAACGTGTCCTGGTGTCCAAACGTAAGTCAGAGTCTATCCACGGTGTCTAACCCTTTACTTTTGCAGATTATGATATAATACCTCAAGCAATAACTTAGAACTACCACTAGGTTTGAGTCAGTCAAAGAGGAGTTAAAACCTTTTGATGCTGTCCACGACTCGGATCAGTCTGAGGACTCGCAGGATGAAGACGATGTCCAGGATCTGACGGCTGGTGTAAGTGCCCACTACAAAAGGACACAAACAATTATTCAGAAAGGCAAAATGTCTTTATTTTCCCAGTAGGACCTTTTCAACTTGGTGGAAAGGTGTAGCATTTGTTAAGGGCGAACCTATATAACAGCAGAAGTACAGGAGAAGATCTGAATCACAGGATGGATACACACATTATTTTCTTCTGGATTTTGGCTCTCACATTTACCAGATCAACAAAGCAGAACTGTAAATGGTAAATAGACTGTACCTAACTATAGCTCTTTATCAGGTATTTTCGACCCCTCAAAGCGCTACGAGTAGTTCACCCATTCACACTTTATTCATGCATACAGCAGTAGTAGAGTAGTACCACTTGCTCTAGGGAAGCTAAAATTCACACACATTCACACACTACTCATCGCGAACAACTCAGGATTAAGTATCTTGCCCATCGACATGTTGACTGCCAGGCTGGGATTGATCCAACAACCTTCTGGTTGAAAGACGACCGACTCCCTCACAGCCCTTGTTTTTACTTAATGGATTCAGATATACAGTAGAAAAAGCGAACTTACCTGACATGGAGGAGTTGATGATAGTGGCGATGAGAGCAGAGATGACGATGATTGTGTCAAACCTGAAAACACAAATCAAATATTACAAAACAAACTTTTTAAGTTAGGCGTAAATACTTTTCTTCGACAGCGATGATGCTGAAAGCAAAACCGGCGTTAGCGTAAAAGAAGCTGAAGGCTTTTCTTCCTGTTCGTTTTCATAAGATGTCAGTCTGTCCCCGCCAACATGTTGAACAGCTTTATATCATGGATGCGTTAATAGATCTGATCCGAGCCTTACTGTCAGTTTGCCCCTATGGTCACTCGCAGTATTGCAATACATAAATCCCACAAAATAATTGTCTTTATAAACTTCCATTATAAAATAGATGTATATAACACAGTTTAAAGGACATATCCAACTGCAAACAATTATCACTCAATTTTTAACCCATTAAGGTCCATCAGTAACACTTTCCCAAAGTCCAAAATATTCTTTGGTGTAAAGAACACTTATTGTGGCTTTTGAAAGTGGCAAGCACTTTTCATTTAAATGAAAAGAGGCCATCTTTCATTTCGATATCCAGTTCTTATAATACATCCATGAAACAACCTAACACTCATAACTGAAGTCGCTGCAGCTGCTCTGCTCACCAGCAGGGGGCGCAAAATGCTGAAAACAAAGAGAACCTCAGCAGCTGCAGCAAAAAAACGTTTCGGTCTCAGCCTGCAGGGCCAATAGTGCAACTGCACTGCGATGCAATACATTTATGAAGCTTACAATGTTCAGCTTTTGTTGAAAACTATATTTTATTTATCCAAGGAGAAATTTAATTTTGTTACAGTTGCTCCATTTAAAAACAAAAAAACAAAAAAAAATGATTTTAAGATGTTAAAGTAAGAATGTGCAATAAAAAGATTGCAATAAAATAAAGACATTTATACAAACATAATAAATTAGAGTTAAATGCCCACTAAAAGATCAAATGTGCTACAATATTTAACATCAATATCACAATATATACAGGTTTTTCAAAAAAATTGTTATTAATAAGATATTATTACTACACAATTTAATTGAGACGTTTCCAACAATGTCAAAAACTGTACGTAAGGAAGTTTGTATGAACTAAATAATAATAGATATTTCGAAGGAGCTGCTGCATTGCATTACAATCGCAAGGCATTTTATAAGCCTGGAAACTGTGATTAAAAAGTCTGAAAGAAAAACACTTTTAATGAGAAAACAAAACTTTAAGGAATTTCTCATAACAAGTCGAGACCTCACAGTTTACTCTTTAGTGAGTTTTCGCATTTTTTGCTCACAATTTCTGTTAATTTTCTTTCAGTGTTTTCAATTCTTAGGAATGTTTTTTTTCTTAAACAACCTTTTATAGTTTTTACTTTCAGACTTTTGTGGTCCTAAAATCCAGTGCCATAATTTAGCTCTTTAACTCCATAATGGCACAAAAACAGCATTTAAAATAAAAAACGATAACTCAAAAGTAGAATGGGCGTCTCAAGCATCAGGGAGCTGGTCCAAGCGCTGAAGAAGCAGCAGATTTTAAACACGTGTCACATACCTCGTACTTATTATCTGGGACGCAGATAGGCTGTGTGAAATGGACACAGCTCGTTCATTGAGTTAAAAAAGGTTTCATTATAAAGTTTAATCAGAAAAAGGTTTATCGTTACATTGGAAGAGAACCTGAAAAGCACTTTTCAAACACAATTAAACATTATGAAATTTATATTATTGGTATTTTCTAGTAAATGATTCATATTTTCTTGACCCGAGATCAAGTCAATACACTTTTGTAAAAGTTAAGGTTATTTGACTTTATTTGAGTTTTTCCATTTAATGCTATATTTTTTAACTACATCCTTGAGGGAAGTGTTGTAGTGTTCACTACATTGTCTGACGGCTTAAAAAACGTATTCAATTGAAATGTATTATTATCCTATCCTTCCTGTCAAGTGAAAACCATGCATCTCCAAATTTGGTTACTCATAATTTGAATGTCAAATTAAAACATCCGTATGCACCTACAGCAGTAAAATGCAACATAAACATTAATGCATAAATAATTCTAATCCCAAATAAAATACTATATAATAATAATAAAACAGTGACAGGAAACATTTTTCCACATAATTAATGTATTTTAAAGGTCACCTATTATGCAAAATCCACTTGCAAATCTCCTGTCTTTTATGCATAAATATGTGTAGTTTTGGTATTAATACTTGTATTTCAGTAAAGGATCTGCATACTTCTCCCACCACTGCCTGCCAGATTACCCAGAATCCTTCACTCATTTCCAACCAACCTTGTGTAAGTGTGTATCAGACAGCGGCAGTGAAGCTGTTTCTCACCAGTTCCAGAAGCTGTGTTTGGAGAAGAACGCTCGGGGCTCGAACACGTAGAGCTTCAGCAGGATCTCCAGCAGGTAGAGAGCCAGAAAGGCCCACTCAGAGTTAGCGATCAGCGGGTTCTTCTCATCCAGACCAATGAACACAGCGTTCACCAGGATGATCAGGTCGTACACGATCACAAAGGCCCTGAAAACACACAGGAGTTGTGTGTCAGCTAGGGAGATGGTTTTGACAGCAATTGAGAAAGTATTTCCAAAAGATTCTGTTCAGTCTCTGAGAATCACATCACAGTTTCAGAAAAATATAACAATAAACTCTGTTAATTGAATATGCGCATTATTGCACATTAACAGTAAATAATATCCTACTTTTATATCGTGTTAGCTGTAATTTGGCCATTCAATAGTGTTTTAATCGTCAGATCAACTTTTATATTTTAACTTTATTGGTTCGGTTTTATCTTCGATTTTGAGATGTTTATATTGTGTTTATTTTCTACTTTTTTGACATCTATTTATGTGCAATACTTTGTTTAACATGCTGCTGCAACGAAAACCTTTCCCAATTTGGGATCAATAAAGTATATCTAAATAAAGCATACTTTGAGTTAATAAAAGGTTCAATCAACTCACCAGAAAGTCAAAACAATCTAATGACACAATAAAAACAGTTTTCTGTTTAAGGGGAACTAATTGTTTTGTATTTTCTGTATAAACTACCGCTACCTTAATTGTACATTTAATTATTAACCAATATTTATTTTATTTATAAAAACCTACTTTATTGTTGCTTTAAGTTGGTTAGCAATTGTCTTATGCTTGTGTGTGTATGGAGAGATTGACTAACTGCAGCTAGTTTGATGTCTGTCACTGGATTGGACAAAGATGGACATTCATACACAGTGGTGTAGTGGGGATTCTTTTACTGGGTGGACGAGAGGGGAGACACTATGGACGCGCTCGTGAACTGTCAACGGGGGGGGAGGGGTACACTCTGGACCTCTGTGGACCTGCAACTTACATGATGCCGTTTAAAAAATATAATATTAAAGGGCGGTGCCGGCCGTCTGCGAACCGAGCCGGCCTTTCTGCGCAACTAGTGCCAAAAAAATCGGGACATATTCTTAATTTGTGGGACGCGGAACAAATGATAAAAATGCTGTACACTTGGTCACCCTACACACACACACGGTGCTGCCCCTCACACACACAGGCTTCAAATCAAGTTGCATAAATGCTTGAGCTACGTTTTTATTATAATTACTGTGAAATGTAGATTATGTTTTCGTCATTATTACAACAAATACACACTTGCAACTGATAACACTGGCAATGATTTTATATTTATTAGACTATTAAAAATAAATCATGCTTCAAAAAAATGGAGGCTCCAAATAAGTGGGGGTACGGCGACCCCCCGCGTCCAACGACCACTACACCACTGTTCATACATCTATACAACTTGATAAATACCCAGTTGTACACAATGAATATCAAACAGATAAAAGATGTCTCTCTGTCTCACCGGTGTTGGACCAGTTTGCGGAGCAGGCGGCTGGGGGCTGACTGGTAGAGGCTGGGACACAGACTCTGGAGCGGGTGAGGTCTGGACTTCAGCGTGATCACCTCGATGTTCAGGAGGTCGGCCAGCTGCACGAACGCCACCTTACCTGTCAATCAAACAACAGTCAAAATAGAACAAGAAAAATTATGTAAAATGTCACCAAAGCATCATTACAGGGAAAGTTAACCCTAAAATCCAAAACACATATTTCCTCTTATCTGAAGTGCTATTTATCAATCTAGATTTGAGTTGCAGTGTGTTGAAGATGTCGACAGTACAGATGTCAGCTTTTTTGGAATATAATGAAAACTACATGGCACTCAACTTGTGATGCTCAAAGAAACCAAAAATACATTGAAATAGTTTGATTAAGAAATCATGACCTGGTTACTCCAGTTAATCCACAGACCTTGTTGAGTTTCATGAAGAAACTTTTGTTATCTAAATTATCACCGCACAGAATGAAGTATGCATCTATCCATGAACGAGAGACTTGTGACATCGCGAGGATTTAAACATTATTGACCTTTGCTGAGCTGTAACTTTAGTGACTTCAGGAGAGGAACATATGATGCAAGGGCCTCTCGAATTAGCTGTTTACAGGAAAGGACCGAGCGGACTCTAGTTCCTGTGGAAATGCAGATCCTTTAATGTGTGCAACAGGAGGTTTCCTATTTCTTACGATTTCCTGTTCTTGGGACCCTGGAGATTGATTTTGTGTAGAAGGGGAAGCTGCCAAAACTATCCTGGATGTACATCATGGGCAACACCTCACATCCTATTTAAATATCCTGATCAACAAAGGACTATCTATCTAACAAGCTAACAAGCTAACAAGAGAACGTTATCTCTCTTTTTAAAACTGGCTAGCCAACAATTTGTATCCATCAATTAAACCACCTAGCAAACATTAGCCATATTCTTAACAAGCTTGCTAGCAAATGTTAGCTATCTCCTCAGGCTAGCTAATGTTCACTATCTATCTCTCTATCTGTCCATCTATCTGTCTATCCATCTATCTATCTATCTATCTATCTGTCTGTCTGTCTGTCTGTCTGTCTGTCTATCTATCTATCTATCTCTCTCTCTGTCTGTCTATCTATCTCTCTCTCTATCTGTCTGTCTATCTATCTATCTGTCTATCCATCTATCTATCTATCTATCTATCTGTTTGTCTGTCTGTCTATCTATCTATCTATCTCTCTCTCTATCTATCTGTCCATCTATCTGTCTATCCATCTATCTATCTATCTGTCTATCTATCTATCTATCTCTCTCTCTATCTATCTCTCTCTCTATCTGTCTGTCTATCTATCTATCTGTCCATCTATCTGTCTATCTATCTGTCTATCTATCTATCTATCTATCCATCTATCTGTCCATCTATCTGTCCATCTATCTGTCCATCTATCTGTCCATCTATCTATCTATCTATCTATCCAACTAACTAACTAACTAACTAACTAACTACCTAACTAACTGACTGACTGACTAACTAGCTAGCTTATCCATTCATCCATCCAATAATATAGTGAATAAGTACAAAGTAGCAGTAGTTGTTGATGACATTTGACTCTCACATTACCCCCCCCCGTGAGTTGTAAAAAGAGTGTGAATAAACAATACGGTGTGCAATTACTCCTGTGTTAAGGACAATAAGTGAACAAAACAATGCTTTTCCCGTCTGGCTAGATATGATATCAGCTCTCCTACTCAGGTTTGTTTGCTCAGATTAAAGGCTGAAAAGGGGATGTGATGAAACAGATTTGACTTCCCTCCATGATGGAGGGTGCGTATGTAGTGACTCATCGCGATTGGGTTGGAGACGGCTGGATTGGTTGTGACCGTTATAAACCAGTCTATGGTTGTAACAGTGCAAAATGGAGAATTGCTGAGCATTTTTACCAAACGTTAATTTACCAGAGAGGAGATTTTAAAGAGCTCACGGGGCCTCCACGGCTGCGTTCAGTTACAGTTTAGATGCGGACCTCCAAACACAGAAAAACTCTTAGACCGATCCAAGTTAACTGTGGTGTAGGGCCAGTCTATTGTTTGATCCTGTTTTCCTCGTGGGAAAAATAAAATGTAATATTAGTTGGACTTCAAATAGACCAATGTTTAGGACCATTTTCAGTAATAATTTAGGTTTGATGAAGACGCGGGTTTTCTTTGT